ATATTCATACTAATACTAATATTGATATTAATACTGATACTAATATTGATACTAATATAAGTACTAATACTAATACTTATATTAATACTACTATTCATATTGATATTGATACACATACTAATATTGATACTCATATTGATGCTTTCCAAAATAATTTAGTGATATTTATCACACTCATGTTCATACTAATACTCATACATACTCATACTCATACTCAACTCATTCTCATACTCGTACTCATACTTATACTCATATTTATACTCATTACTAATATTGATACTAATACTGATAATAATACATATACTAATAATAATACTAACATTGATACTAATATTGATGCTAATATTGATACTTATACAATGCCAGTAACACTTTACAATCCCCTAAAATTGTAACACTTTACAATCCCGTAATAAATGACGACGTGTTACAATATAATAATCCTCGCAACACTTCATAATAAAATGCATTTCGCGTACACTTCATTTTCAGCTTAATAACGTTAATAATATTTAATGTATAATTAATTTAATTTATAAGATTAGAATTACAGTGGATGTAGCATGATGAATCTGATGTTATGTACGTAAAGATTTAAAAGATTAATAGCAAGCAAATTACAATAAACGTACAAATTAATAATAATGTATGTACATATCAATACAATGGATAAAAATAAGCATTATTAATGGACATACAAATTAATATTGTTACAAAAATATGTAAAAAAAAATCTATTACATGCTCAATTTCATTAATCTCAACTTGTTTTTCATCGAAACCAAGCTTACAGTCGTCTCACGTATAATCAAAAGATGGAAAAACATAAGTTTTTTTTTTTTTAAATTCATCAACACAATACATGTGGATCATATTTTTGCATGATATACAACGTTGTAACACTTCTCTCTTCCCGATGTCCATGCGTATAACACAGACGAAGCTATCCAAGGATATGCAAAAAGAAATCAAAACAAACATAACTTAGATTGTTACATAAATACATACATAATAAACGAATAACGTCATAAATTTCAACGAAAAATAAAATGCTTCAAGCAAACGGATCGAAAAAAATTTATTGAACAAAGTTAGTTGAATTTTCAACTAAAGTAACCCTAGAATTCTCTCTTCCCTCTCCTAAATTTATTGCCGTCCTTTGACCGAGAACAACCACCGGATAAACCAGACTCCTCATCGGGGTCGCAACCCAAATCCTTTGCACAGATGGTTGGGACTAAACGGACTATGTCCCCACCGAGATTCGCCCCGGTGGATCTCGCACCACGGCCGATTTCGTCAGTTGACAAGGCACCGGCGATCTTCTTCTCCCCTATAGAGATAGATCAACTCAATCGCCAAGTGGATAACATGCTGATCATGAAGTTCTCGGCAGGTCGTCCGAGCCTCCAAGATATCCGATTGCATATGAACTCGGAATGGAAATTAGCAACGGAACCGGCAATAGGGTTTTTGGATCCTCGCCATATAACAGTGCATATGGGGTCGGTACAAGACGCAAAATTAGCGTTATCTCGTAATCCAATGATATACAAAACTGCATGTTTCGGATTTTTCGCTGGACACCGGATTTCACTATTGGGAAAGACAGTAGTAAAGTTGCGGTCTGGGTTCGTTTCCCCAAACTCCCTCTCCCGTACTTTAATATTTCATCTCTTGAACACATAGGTGCTGCTCTAGGGACGGTGCTAAGAGCGGATGACAGGACAATCGCGTTTACTCACACACACTACGCTCGGATTTGCATTGAGGTTAATGTCGCACAGCAATTACCGGAGGCTATTTTCATTGGATCGTCGAAGGAAGATGGGTGGTGGAAAAAGTGAAATATGAAGGTAACCACACGTATTGTTCTCATTTCGGGCTTCTGGGACATTTAGTGGGCGCGTGTTGGAAAAAACAAATTCCGACCAAACCCTCGATAAAAATCAAACAAAATTTGGCTCAAACTCCTTCCCGAGTACTTCGGCGAGGAGAAACATTACCGCTGTCTCATGGGATGGCGCCTGACCAAACGTTTGAGGAAAATACAGAACAGGTGAGTAAGGAGCAAAGGGACGAAGAAGTTGTCGACGAACCTACGCATGCAAACCCTAAAAGTCAAGATTTGGATGATACAAGTTCTGGGGACCAGACGAAGCCGGGGCAGGGACATGGACGTGAGAATGAAGATCCACCGGCCCAACACAATTATAATGCCGTGCCACAAGAAAATGGTGAAAAGTCGGAACAAAGTAACAAGGCACTGGACGAAAACGATCCTACAAAGAAGAACCCGATAGAAGTGGAAAACCACTTCGAAGCTTTGAATTTGTTAGACAATGAGAATCTTCAGATAGCGGTTTATCATTCTGATGGAGAAAATGAGGAAAACACAGGTGTTTCATTATCACCAAGATCTGATAGCGACGTCACTCCCACTCGCAGAGTAGTTACAAATCCGAAGAGCTTGTATATTCGACACCCTACCGATAGAATTACCAGATCTCTGGCAAGGTTACCAAATGATCACGAAAGTTAATTATGTCGTGTCTAATATGGAACGCACGAGGGGTCAGTCAGCACACCACTGTGACGCACATAAAAAATATTGTACAACAACAGCGAGCTGCTATATTGGTAATTCTTGAGCCCAAGCTCCCCTAAAAAAGACTTCATGCCTTGGCACTCAGATTAGGTTTCTCGTCTTCACTGCATGGGGAAGAGACGAACAAATTTATATGGATCCTTTGGAAAACCGAAGTTACTATTAAGCCACTAAATATCTTTTCTCAGGCTATCACGGTATCAATCGATATTCCACGGCAACCCCTCCTCACGGCAACTTTCGTCTATGCCAGTTGCTCCCTCAGCACACGTCGTGATCTTTGGGCACATATATCAGATATAAACGAGGTGATAACGGGACCTTGGTTTGGGGGGGGGGGGGGATTTTAATGCAATTTTCGATATCTCAGAGAAAAAAGGGGGATTTGTTAATACCGCTAAACTCCATGATTTTCAAAATTGTGTCGCCCAGAATGGATTGGTGGATGCGGGATATATTGGTAATCCATTCACATAGAGCAACAAGGACAGGCTTGGACAGGGTTTGGCAGCGTTTGGACAGAATTTTGGTCAACACCACGTTTCATAACATTTTTCCGGCATTGAAAGTGCATCATTTAGCTCGAGATGCATCAGATCATGCTCCGTTGAGCGTCACATTTGAGCAAGACCAACAACAGGCACGTGGTCGTTTTATTTTCCAGCGCATGTGGGCAGATCATCCTTCCTTCCTTGAAGTGGTGAGAAAGGCGTGGGATACGCCTACTTCCGGGTCTGCCTCTAACGCTTTTCACACAAAACTTATGAATGTTCGGAAGACATTAAAGAATTGGAACTGGGATACATTTGGAGATATACAATGGAACATCAAGGAGAGTCAAGAAAAAATTCAAGTGCTTGAAAATATTTTAGTGCAAGGTTGGAGCGAAGATACGCAGAAACAGCTTGTTGAGCTGAAACAACACTTGTTGAAGCTAGAACAATGGGAGGCGGAGTTGCTCAGCAATAAGGCGCGTATTGCTTGGGAGAAGGATGGGGATCGTAATACTGCTTTCTTCCATGCTAGTATGAAAGATCGGCGGAAAAAATCATTGATCCATGTGGCTCGACAGAATGGAACGATTACCACAAGTCAGCAAGAAATTGGGCTTATCGCCGAAAGCTTCTTTTTGGACCTTTTCAAGGCTTCAGAGTACTACCTGCATGATGAGCTATTTCAGAATACACCACAGATAGTTACGGATGGAATAAATGGGATTTTTGCAAAATACCAGAAGAGGGGGAGATTCTTGAAACAATTAAGTCGATGAACCCGGCAAGTTCGCCAGGTAACTTTACGGGACATTTTTACACGATCTGCTGGGACATAATTAAACGTGATGAGTTAGTTCACATGGTTGGGGACTTCTTTCGCGGGAGCTATCTATCTAAGGACATGAACCGGACGACGTTGGTTCTTATACCAAAAACGGAGAATGCCCGAAATATTGCAGAATACCGGCCCATCAGCTTGGGGAATTTTTCAGGAAAAATTATATCAAAAATCCTTGCTAGGCGTCTTGGACATATTCTCCCTCTGATTATCTCGGACGAACAGACGGGTTTCGTGCAAGGGAGACAGATGGCGGCTCATATTGTCATGGCGCAAGAATTGGTTCGAGATATCAATAGGAAAAGTAAAGGGGGTAACGTGGTTTTCAAGCTCGACATGGCGAAAGCATACGATCGGTTAGAATGGCGTTTCCTTCTTCGCGCAATGCGAGCGTTCGACTTCTCATGCTGCATGCGATCTCATCTATCGCAATATTTCGAATATATGGTACTCGTTCAGTATAAACGGGGAAATCTGGGGAATTTCAAATCCTCTCGTGGGGTTCGGCAAGGTGATCCACTATCCCCGCTCCTCTTCATTTTGGCTCAACAAATATTGACGCAGAATATTACCAAAAATATTGCAGCAAAGCACATTCGACCCTACAAAGTGGGGAGCGACGAGGTTTCTATATCTCACCTGCTGTATGCGGATGGCATTCTAGTGTTCACTAATGGTGGGCGAGAATCTTTAATGAACCTTATGGACACTATTCACTCATATGAAAGATCTTCCGGGCAACGAGTCAATGCGGGTAAGAGTCATTACTATGTAGGTAAATGGGGCGAGGGTGTTGCTCATTCCATTGAGCGAATTACGGGTTTTCGGCGGAAAGAGTTCCCGTTTATATATCTTGGAGTTCCTATCTTTTTTGGCCGATCAAAAGCTGAATATTATGAAAACGTGGTGCAACAGGTTCGAGGAAAGCTTACGGGGTGGAAGGGGAAATTTTTGTCTTTTGCCGGAAAATCACATTGATAAAATCGGTACTTGCAAGCATTCCGGTTTATACGATGGCATGCACGAAAGTCCCTGTTTCGGTTTTAAAGCGTATAGAATAAATCATGGCTATGTTTCTCTGGAGCTCGGGTAATGACGCGCGAACACACTGGGTTCGCTGGGAGACCGTTTGTACCCCAATGGACGAATGAGGATTGGGCATTCGGCTATTAAAAGATGTAATGGACTGCATGCATGGGAAGCTATGGTGGTTGGTCAACCAAGGGCAGACTCTATGGGCCCGATTTGCGAAAGCCAAATATTGCGATAAACGGAATAATATTAATCGGCAAACGGCATCCCCTCTTTGGATTGCAATACACAAGCATGTAGATAGTATGAAGGAGTGCACTAGATGGCTCGTAGGGCGAGGAGGTATAAGTTTTTGGATGGAAAACTGGATTGGCGAGACGCTAATCAGGCCTCTCCCGTGCGATCGTCAGCTTACAGTGGCCGAAGCACTCTCTCAAATAGCGGATTATTTACCGCTCATTCACACAGATTGGCATGAGAAAATTGTCCGTGTTAAGTTGGATGAGCAACAACCTGTCAGACTCATATTTACACTAACACAAACGGAAATTTTCTCGTCCAAAGAGTATTATAATTTTCGGCGGAAAAATGGTTGGAGGCAACACTGGCCTGTTCGGGTATGGCTCAACTACATTCCACCCAAAACTAGTGGCTTTATGTGGAAAATTCTGCATCACGCTATCCCGGTTGACGTCCGTATAGTAACTCGGGGAATTCCGATAGTGTCAAGATGTGTATGCTGCAACAACCCTCACCAAGAAGACATCAGACATCTCTTTTTTAAATCAGAAGTTGCACATTCAATATGGCGGCACTTTGGTTTAATATTCAGAATTCCGTGGGCTTTTGAGTCAGTGAAACACGCGCTACGCATATGGACGCCGAAACCGAAGACTCACTCGACTTACGTCATGGTTCGAGCATCAGTAGTCTGCCACATCCTCCGAGAAATATGGACCGCAAGATGCAAGGTGGTTTACGACGGAGGGGTTTTGACAGCGATTGATATATGCCAACGTGTGCTCCATAAAGTAAAATACCAGGGTATCGTACACAGACCACGCCACATGTCCACGAAGTCGCAACTCCTACAGCTGGCGGCAGTAGGTATTTACAGGCCACAACCAATGGTTAGGCGTGGAGTATGGCATAAATGGGAGCCTCCTGCTGTTGGAACATACAAACTTAATACAGATGGGTCCGCGAAAGACGAGATGTGTACGGGTGGGGGCATCATTCGCAATTCAGAAGGTGGTATTATTGCAAGCTTTTCGGCTTTCTTTGGGAGAGGTACGGATAATTTTGCTGAAATTTTTGCGGTGGCCGTGGGTCTTCGCCTGTGTCATTCGTTAGGGATTGGAGCAGTTGTAGTCGAGACGGACTCTCTTTTAACGGTCAACGCGATCAAGAAATTGGGAGTGGCGTGGGATTTGGAGTATGTATATCGGATTTGCATGCAAGAGTTTCGACCATACCATAAGATCACACATGTGTTTCGCCAAGAGAATACGGTGGCAGACCGTTTAGCCAATTGGGCATATACGCATAAATCTTATCAAGAGGTTTCCTCAGGGAACAGTATGCCTCAAGAAGTGAAGGCTGCATACATTAGTGATAAGCTCGGTATTGCGAATTTTCGTAAATGAGACACACGAAACTACATCTAAGGAAGAGGGGTAGGAGCACGCTGTGTTGGAGCTCGAATTTTCGGATATTGGAAGAGAGAGTCATTGGTTGTAGCGAATGGGAAGATGGAATAACCATAGGGGTGATTCTGAATTTTTCAGAAAGATGTTGACTAGGGAGGCGGAATTTCAAAAATTACAAATTGACCCCCACCTGTGGAGCTTTTTTGGCGAAGCACAAGAAAGTTGGGGGTGGTTAAGAATAGCCGCATTACATACTTTAATATTAACATTTTATACCCCATTTTGGGTCATATTTGTAATAGTCTAGTAACCTTAGACGCTGATTTTTTATTTCCATTGCAGGGGTACTCTTTTTTCCTTGTGTTAGGCCCACAAGGTTTTAACGAGGCCCCCTCCTTTCTATCTTAAATGGAATAATAAAATCTTTTGGCCAAAAAGAAAAGAAAAAAAAAACTAAAGTATTGCCATATTTAAACATATGCGGAAATGTTTCTAATAAAAAAACGTGTTTAAATTGCAAATCAATTGCAAATTACAATGTTTCATTATGGAAAGAGATTTGTTATCAATTATGTCTATTAACAAATTTTCATAATAAATAGATAAATAATTGGTGGAAAAAAATCAAGGGCAAATTACCAAAACCCCCCTGAGGTAAGCCTAAATAACGAAAATCCCCCCCACGTTCTCGTAATTACGAAAACCCCCCTTGGCTAACGGTTGACCGAAATTTTTTAACCGAAAACGTGAAATGTCTATTATATCCTTCTGTTAAATATGTGAAAATAAAAGAAAAAAAGATGAAAAAGAAATTATTAGTGTTATGGCCTTTGATCAGATCTCAATGCCCAATAATTTACGCCCGTTAAATATAGTGAGAAATCTAAGCTTTTGAGGGTGGAGATTTTGCTGAGCTCCGGCGGGAGTTTTCCGGTGAGTTGGTTCTTGAAGAGGAAGAGCGATTCGAGTTTCGTGAGGTTGCTAAGTTGTTTAGGGATTTGGCCGGAGATATTTGCGTCGGCGATATCGAGGTACTAGAGGTCGCTCATAGGAGTTGTAGCCGATCTCCATGTGTGAGAGAAATCTCAGATTCCCCAGCTCCGGCGGTATTGCGCCGCCGAGGAAATTTCCGGCGAGGTAGATGAACTCGAGCGATTTGAACGAGCCGTACTCCGGCGGGATTGGACCGCTGAAGTAGCTTCCGGCGAAAGTCAGCACTTTGAGAGACTCCACCTGAGAGACGTCGACCGGTAGGTTTCCGGCGAAGCTGTTGCTGAACGCGTCGAGAATGACCAAACTCCGGAGCCGCGGAATCCCACTCGGAAAACCCCCGGAGAAATTGTTCATACTGATGTCCAACGATTCCAGGTTAGTGAGGTTGAAAACACCGGCGGGAAGTTAGCCGGAAAACGAGTTATGACTCAGAATTACCCCCCTAAGGGTAAATAAAATGCTTACAATTACCCCCCTAAGGGTAATTTCGCGTACAAGGGCAAAATTGGTATTATCGGAGGAATATTCGGGAGAATCAAAAAGATTCTATCGAGTTTAACACCGTTAGAGCGATTGGTAAGATGTCTGCATACCTCAGGGGGGTTTTCGTAATTACGAGAACGTGGGGGGAATTTCCGTTATCCAGACTTACCTCAGGGGGGTTTTGGTAATTTGCCCAAAAATCAACTACCAATGGTTGGCGGCCCATGGAAAAATATGCATACACGAACAAAGTAAATTAATTAAGTACAATAATTTTAGTCCATAATTAAATAAATTTCGATATGCAATATTTTAAGAAAGGCGAAATTTATGGTCGATGTAGAGAATGAATTAATATTAGATATTTAAAAACTAATCATTTTTAAATTCATTATGGAGGAAACTTAATAATAAATACTATAGAAAATAAACTTATTTTTGTAATTTATATGTAATGATATTTATGAAACAAATTAATCAAAATCATGGATTTTATGAAACCGAAAATTTCAGTTACTTAATTACAATAAAGAAAATTTACACACGAATTCAAAATCACAGATTTTATGATATTAAGTAATTTAAAATTAAAGAAAATTTCAACTAATGCAACAAAAGAAAGATGGAATGAAAAAATTTACAAATGTTACTTAAATTAAATAAGAAAATCTAATTGAATATAACTGGAAGTTGTGGAGCGGAATTAAAAATGTCACTCAATTGTGAATCTTGACTTTGTACATAGGTGGTGTTCGCAAACACTTCTCCAAAATGATTATGA